CTGCAGTTACAACCACCAATTAACCTGACATATGTAATGCAGTCTTTCTAAACCAACCTACTGGCTTCAAGAAAAGTTAGTTTGGTTTTTTTATGCTGAATTTTACCATACCAAATCCATTTTTTTTCCTCTAGTTTTCTACTTTGAGAGTAGAATTCTTCCTAAAATTAAGGAGTAATAAGAAACACTAGGGATTTTCTACCTTTATTTTTTCAGGCTGTAGAGAAATGCTGGTCTTGGCCTGCCTTCAATAAAAAGTCTAGTATGGGAATACAGTTTTTGATTCTAGTTTTAAGTTTTTTATTTAGGGATGAAGAAAATATTTGGAAGTATAATCATTTGCATGAATAGGAAAGTATTTGTACAGTGGAAGTTGGATCTCAGTGTGATATTTGATCAGGCTGTACTTAGTTACTTTGTAAAAGTGTCTTCCTGTATAATATTGAAGACATTCAACTGAAAACAGTATAGGAAGAAAGAAGCAGTAGGAACTGAAGATAGAAATATTTGAAATGAAGCAGACAACTTTAATAATGAATGCAATCAATCTTTGAGCAAATTACTGAGAAACGTAGTGTGGATTTCATCTTACAGTATAATTTAAACCCAAACTGGATGTCTTCCTAGATGATAAATTAAATGAAACCTAAGCTAATGGGCTCCAGACAGAGGTAAAAAAGTAAAATATAATGAGGTCAGTCTAAATCCAATAGTTCCTTTAAAGTTTAAGCTTTATAAACTGAAATGTTGTGGAATGTGTATGAATTAAGTTCCTGTCTGTGCCATTGCTCTTATAAAGCCAGTCCTTCAATGGTGTTCTGTTATCTAATATAATTTATCTGTAGTAGAAGTAAAGTGATGTTGTAACCATGTGCATTGCACTTTTAATTGCAAAACAGAGTTTGACATCATTAATTTGACCTATTATTTTTTTCTTAACCTTGTTTTTTATTGGAGGAATCATTCTGACCATTAAATGGAAACTTTTATAGTCTGTAAAAGGATAATTGAACTCCACTGCACTTAGAGTCTTGCAAATGTAATCTGCCATTGCAGGGAAATAAACTGATTTAAATTACTGCACTTGGTTTTACTTCTTTAGCTTGGGAGTAATCATTTGTGAAATCAAATTGGCACATGAAAAATGAATTGTGTAATAGTTTCAGAGGGCTGTTTCTTTGAAGGTATTGTTACAATATAATTGCATAAGGAAACCAGTGTACTTATTTAGCATACTTGCAGACACCCAAAGCAAAATTAATGTTTTTATTAGAGCTGAGGGTAAGGCAGATGAAGAAAGAAATAAATACAAGGTATGTTCAGTCTGAATACATTGCAAATTTGTATTTCATTTGGGAAAAATTGATAAAAATGGTTACTTCTAGAAATATAGAAATGGGTGTATGCAAATTGCTTATCATTTTGTGAAATCTAGTTAAATTAAAATTGTGTCAAAGACACTATATGATTAACATATTTTAGATTTGAGATGAGTAAAATCAATACACCAATAAATGTGACATACATAAGTAATTATTGAATTAAGTGTCAGTATTTTGGTTATGCTATTTAAACAAACATACAGTATATAATTTAGATGTTAATGTAGGAATGAGATTAGGAAGTTTTCTTTTAAAATTCTGCTGTTTAAATGAAGTTGCATCCTTGTATGTGTTCTTCTGCATAGAGAAGCCCACTCTGGATTTCTGCATGCACCTCCTCATGAACCTTCGAAGTCATTGAAATGCAGATTTAGGCAAAGCTTAGACATTCTTAAAAGCATTTCTCTTTGTGCACAAAATGGCTCTTTTCAAATGATGTTAATAGTATTTTTCCTGCTTTCCATCTTTGAGCTCTGCAACCAAAAGTGATGGAAGGAGATTGCAGGTGTCTATCCGAATAACTAATAAGATTTTTCCAAATGCTGTGATTGCAGCAAACTATGATTATTCTTGTTGTTGTGTATATATCAAGCTTTATTCAGTGTTGTCTCATTAATTCCAAATTAATTCTCAGAGTTACTTATTTTCCTAATATATCAGCCTCCTCTTGAAAGCTTTTTTTTTCTGTAGCTGATTTTATGGTTTAAGAAAAGGTGGGGTGATTTTTATCCTTCCTTATACTGTACATTAATTTCAAGGTCCATTCTCATTATATCCTTCAACTTCTGTAATCTCCATTATTTCTGTGTCTCTTAGTCTTTTAGTCTAAAATTTCTATCATACCAATGCAATTACTAAAATGATTTGACTATGTCTCTGCTTGCAGCATTCTTTCAAGAGAATTCTGTTGTTGCAGGAGAAAATCTGCATTTAAACTAGAGATGAATTTTCCTTTTTCCAATTAATGGAATAAACTAGGCTTTCTAAATTTTACGTTTTGAGGCCTGAGTTTAACTTGTAGACATTAGAATAGTTAAGAACATGTTAATACCCTTAAATTCCATTAAATACTTAATGCTTGTCTGAATAAGATAGACAGGGAGAACTTTTTTAGTTTGGAGTGAAAATTTTTGGACTATTCATGTATAGAAAAATACATTACTTTCTAAATAAATAAATTTATATTAAGTAAATTTAAGTTACTCAGCTTGGGTTGTATGAAAATGGAAAGAGGAGACCCATGCTTTTCCAAATGCAGAACTGTATAGTTCTGAGTGTAAACATCAGTGCAGGCAGGTGTGTAAGCAGAAATTTATATTTCAATGTCTCCCGAGGTCCATGAGGAGGCACATCCAGAGAATGTGTTCTCACACATGACTATCCAGAGTTATGTGGATCAGTGGAGGAGACTATTTGGAAACTTTGTTTGTTGGTAAGTAACCCTGTTTGTATTGCGTACAAAGTAAATATGTACGGAAAACTGAATTCATAGAATCACAGAATTATTTAGGTTGGAAAAGACCTTTAAGTTCATTAAGTCCAACTATTAACCTGGCAATGCTCCATAATTTTCTGGTCTGCACTGCTGTGTTGGCATCTACAGTGTGTGGATAGTTCTCTTGGTTCTCTTGGTGATGTTTTTTTGAACAAATTTTAAGCCAGAATCCCAGAAAAGTATGGACATGTATTCTGATCCCAAAAATATTCAAAATACAAAACTGGTAGGTGTTCTTATTCTTTTTTGGCTGTGGCTGTAAGAGCAGTGGTGGAACAAGGTCAGAGTCTGTGGAAATAAGAAGGCAGTTTCCATGGGTGTTGAATGCAAATACTTTGTTGGAAAGCAGCACAGTGCTGTTTCTTTTTTTCATTTGTGGGAGCAAGGACACACAGAATCCTTTGAGAAAGAAACATCGTTGTAAACTGGGATGGGTTTTGAAAGATAAGTTATTGTTCTCCTTGAAATAGCTAATAATTGTACAGTTGTATGTACAAATGGTTTGACATTTGTAGAATGAGAACTTCTTTTATACCAAGTCAAATAGTAATTTCTCAGATGTTCTCTACAAACTATTTTCTCAGCAAAATTCCTCTGATATGCAATGTTTAGAGTCATAGAATCATTAAATCTGGAAAAACACTAAGATTATCAAGTCCAGTTGTTTACCCATCAGCACCATTTTCACCATGTCTCTGAGTTCCCTATCCAGGTGTCTTTTGAACATTTCCAGGAATGGTGGAAGTGGTTCCACCACGTCCCTGGCAGCCAGTTCCAGTGCCTGACCAGCCTTTGAGTGAGGAAAGCCACTCTCCAGCCACTCTGTCCCCAGCCTGTAGCACTCAGGGGTTTGTGTGATCCAGGTGTGGGACCCAGCGCTTGCCTTTGTTGAACCTCAAACCATTGGCCTTGGCCTTGATATTAATTAAGAGATTAAACAGGACTGGCCCCAGCACTGAGCCCTGGGGATCCCCACTTGTGACTGGCTGCCAACTGGATGTAATTCATTCACCAACACTCGGGACCCAGCCATGCAGACAGTTTGTAACCCAGTGAAGAGTACAATCCATTAGCAACTATGCACTTAGCTGCAAAATGAATATATATTTTTTAATCTGATCCAGGCTTATTTTTATTTTCAGTTAATTTTGGCTTATTTTTGATTTTTGGTGAGTGATCTGAGAAAACACTGTTCATATCAAGCAGTTTAAAAAACCACATATATAAAATGCTAAGTAGGAAGTATGGACTTTAGACTCCTACTGAATTTGGAGTAATTTGTAAAATGAGTGTAATGCTTTAGTATTAGAATAATGAACTTTTTATTTTCTCAGGAAATAGAAAGACACACTTAGAAAAGTAAACAAATAGAATGTTCACTTAGTTGACAGGTATTTACAGTTACTAAAACTTACAATGAATGCTGTGTCAAAGATTGCATCCTGCAAGGTCTGTGCATAAATCTGAAATTTAAAATTTAAATTGCCTGTTTTTAAATTTTAAAAAATAGTGATATTTCATTTCACTTCAACATATTAACTTTGTTTAACTTCTGAGTGGATGATTTTAAAAACAGCATAATTCATGACATTCTTGTGTGTCAGAGCTCAGAAATACAAATGTTTAGTTAGCTAGATAAATATTCTAGTGTATCTTGCTTTATTCTTAAGACTATATATATGTACTTTTTATTTGCATTCCATGTTAGTCAAGGGATGAAATTTAAATTGCCTTCTGCTATTTTAGTATGTCCTACTGAATGAATGAATGAAATACTTATTTTTAATTCATGTGCATAAACAAGAGGAGTGCAATTGTTGGCTGGTCTGTTTCTACCTCTTGTTTTGTAAAGTAGAAAAATCCATGCATTGCATTGATGAAACTTAAAGTCACAAGGAATAAGTAAATTTTTTTTCTTAGAAGATTCATGATATATCATAAGAAAATTTAATCTTTGCAATAAATTGCTATTAAGAGAAAATAATTTTACAGCAATTTTTGTAGTTTATCCTGGTTGTTGCATATTAATTCTAAAAGCGAATGTAAAAATTTGGATGTTCTTTCAGTACATTTCTGCCTCACTCTCTAAATTGTTATAATTTGTAATTATACAGGAGGTTCTGCATGTTGCAGGAGTGGAAATGCAGTTAACAGCTGCTGTTTCTTTTTTGACTGTTCTGCAAGAGGAGTCGGTGTCCATTCATACATACTCCCACTCCTTCCTACACATCATTCTCCAGAACCTGGAACACAGAGATGCAGGTCAGGGCTGCACAGCCACTCTGATGGCTGATGACCTCTACATGTTTTGTTTCCTTAGTGACCCTACAATACTGTGTCAACAGTGAGTGCAATCACTGTGACTTTGTATCTGGACTTGCATGAATGGAAAGATTTTTGCATGATGACCACTTTCATACTGATATTTAAATGTAATTCTGATTGAAGCAGAAAAACCCCTCTCACTTTGTCTGAAGGATTAAATCCCATACTTGTTTCTGAGTCTGAGCTTCTCCTGAAGTACCAACATTTTGCGGCTGAGAAAATGGAGGGAGGATGGTTGACATTTCTTCTGTGTTGATTATCTTTTCTTAATTTCTTTGACACTAATTTTAGAATACAAAGGAAAGAAAAGGACTGTTGTGCAACTAGAAAGTTTCAGTGGGCGTAAGAAAAGAATGAAATGAGGGAAATTAGCTTTATAAAGCAATTAGAGTAGTTAATAATTTTATGTAGGAATTGGAAAGGGAAAAGAAATGGGGGCAGACCTTGCTTCTTACCTATCCTATTTCATACTCTGAAGCCTTGAATGTTAATATGATGGCTTTCAGATTCATAGCTCCTTGAAGATGCATGCAAAAAGTTAGAACAAATTTTGTAAAACTGGTACATGTTTTTGTTTAGTTGTTGTATGTACAATATAAGACATCACATATAATTAATATCTTTTAAACAGGTGTCAGCAATGCATGGTTAGAAACTCTTCTTGCTGTAATAGAAGCTTTACCAAAAGAAACTGTCAGACATGAGGTAATACTAATTTCTTATGCAAAAAAAAATTAAAATTTTAAGATTGTATGTCCTTGCAAGTTTTATTCACCTCGGTCAGATTTGTGGCAGTTCCATACCTGTGAAAATGGTAATGATTGTGGAACACACTGTAAGAGATGAATGGGCAAAATAGCGAGACAGGGAGGTCACCTTAAAAAAAGTAGTGTTCTTCAGCAAATAAAGTCAACACTTATTTACACTCCACTGTAACATTTCCACTGCACTTTGTATTCTCAGTAAGATGTTTTCCTGCACCCTCTTTTGGTTTACAGGTTAGTATCTCAATCTATGTCTTCATGAAGAAACTACATTTTTTTTACTATTGGACTAAAATTCCAATATCTGCTAAATGGAACTGAATGCTGGAGATCCATTGTTTAGTGTATTTCAGTAGTTCTTGGTGTACCAAAACTCTAATGCACTGCAAACACTCTTCATTTTTCCCTGTGTAGCTCAAGAAAGAATGAAGAAAATCTGTCACTAAGCTATAATGCCAGTCCCCTTTAGTCAGCTAATTTATTCACTTTTAAGTGTTCATATTTTGTTAAGTTCAAAAGCTTTGCAACAGACATATTGACTGTTTTTATAGTTTAAAACAATATGGAGGTTTAAATAAATGATTGTTTGTGTAGTATAGAAATCCTCATTAAAATAAGAGTAAAATTCAGAACTGTTTAAAAATTCAGCTTATAAAGGGTAAAACATAAGGTTGGAACAAACACAGAGAAATTATTCTAGTCATCTTCAAAATCTAATTGCAATGTAATTTAAAATATGTAATTTAAACAGAATTGACTATTGATATGCGTAAGTGCCATTATTGCTAGTACTGATTAATTCAGTGAAAAGGTTAATGACATTTGGGATATGTTTTTGTAGATTTTTTTTTAAGAAGAGGAATACTTTATTTGATGCTCATAATTTTTTCCACTCATATGTCTTCTTTTTTTTTTCCATGTAGATTCTGAATCCACTTGTTTCCAAAGCACAGCTTTCTCCAACACTTCAGTCCCGCTTAGTTAGTTGTAAAATCATGGGAAAAGTAGCTAACAAATTTGAAGCTCATATGTAAGTAGACTGTCAATATATTTTCATTCTACAGTGTAAACCAGTATTTCTCTGTTAGTGGACACAAATTACTACAAGAAAAGTAGACTTCATTGCAAAAATGAAATACTTTTTTTTTTCACAGATCCTTTTCATTATTTAACTAGCATGTTTAGATTTGCTGATGTTCATCATTTTATAACTCGAGTTTGTATGTTCTTTCACAGATTTGAATGGATACCATTTCCAAGCCATTTTTCCATATTGTTTTTCTTACTAGAAAATAAGTCACACTGTGGATTTCTCTGCAAACTTACAGGCACAAAACACAACTTCATCTCCTTTAAGTTTCTTGTCATAGGAAGAGGAATTCCATTCCTAACTTTTTATTATGTAACCAAATCTAGCATGTAGATATGGGTTTTTTTTTTTTTTTATCCCTAACTAAAATGTAGATATATGAGGAACTACTGCTATTCCCTGATATTTTCCAGCCCTTAAGATTCAGTGTCTGTGAGCCTGGACAGGAGAGAGTGCAGTGATGAAAGCAAATCTGAGTCACTCATCTGCTCAAAGCAGTTGGTGTGGTAAATTCCTTGGTCAGTTTACCCAGGCCTGTGATAGCAGGACCACTTCCCCAAATGTGTTTGGTATCTGGGCAATCCAGCACAACATTACTTTGGATAATCCAGCACAACATGACTTTGAATTACAACAGAAATCCACAGTGGGCCACCAAATGCCCAGAAACTACCTAGTTGAGGAAGCTCACTCTAACAATGATTTTGATCTGCCTGAAAATGTAAGAATTCAGCATAACAGAAAAGAACAGAACAATATGACAAGACACTTAGGAATAAATTTCTTTAGATTATGGGGTTTTTTTCTTTAATAAAAAAGAGCTAGAAGCACCCAAAAGGAAACTGTCTAAATCATCATTTGCTGTATATATATATATGTGTGTGTGTATATATATACATATATATATATATATACACTTGTTGAACATGAAAAATTTAATGAAAATGGTAGAGTAGTATTTTTGAGAATGTTACCAAATCTTTATGTTCCAAATATCTAGGACTCTGTCAGAATAGTAGCTGCATTTATTTATTTGATGCTACAATCTCATGGAAATAAGTGACTTTATGGATTACTTGGAATCTTCTGTGAAATATAGTAGTGTTAATTCGTAGCCATAACAATCACATCTTTTGTGATGTTTCTTCAACATGATTCCTTGCTCTTCAGAAGCAGGAATCCCCACATTTCAGTAAACAGATCCTAGCACTTTTTCTGCACAGCCACTACATTTTAGGAAGATAACTCAGAATTTTCTGGGATATGTTGTTTTTCTGGTAGAGAGCTCTTGAGTGCAGTTCAGAGCTGGGTCCTCAGGTTTAGAATGTGGCAGACTGAGTGAAATTCAGGGCACACTCTCATTCCCCTTTCAGAATGGCTCTTGGTACAGGCCCAGAAGACATATCGAACCTCAGGAGTAGGCAATATATAAGCATATCTTCACTTTCTTCTGCAGAATGGCACAGTTTTTTCTCATAAAATTTATGCTATAATTAAAAACTTCATATTTGATGTTATTCCTAGGTTTTTTCTATATCCTGTCCTTGTCACGGAGCATTAGTTTTTGTACCCTCCAGTGTTCCAGGTTAAAAAGTATTTTTTTCTTTTTATGTAGCCCCTAATTTAGTGCATTCTAGAATGCCAAACTTCCAAGACTGTACAATTTTTGAAACTTGAGGCTAAATTTTTTCTGTAAGAAGCTAATTAATTTCCACTGAAATGAATAGAGGCTGTGCAAGCTGGCTTAAAAATTTGCTTGTCAGTGTCTACATATTATTTATCTTGAGTTTTGCAATAACATAAGGATTTTTATAGGGATATTTTATGAATACTTATGGCAGAACCTTGAGCAGTGAAAGGAAACACAATAACTGATTCTGCCAAGTTGTAATATATGTTTTTACTGAAATAAGAATCAAAATTTTTATTTTGTATCTGCCATTAATTTACATGAATACTTGGTCTACTTCCCTGAAGGCATTGCAATATTCAAGCTTTTAGTCTTAAATTCTTTTTCTCCTTTCTTCCTAATTATGTCTTGGGTGATACCTGCATATCAAAGATGAGGTATTACAGACATTTAATTGGGATTTGCATTTCCATTTATATAATCTTTTTATTGTTTCAGTGGCTGTTCAGAAATTATACTGAAGATTAGAATTTATTAAATGAGGACAGCATCCTACTAAAGTAGCCTACCTACTGTTTTTGTAGAGAAATTATTTCTTTTATAAGAAATAATAGATGAATATGAGCAAATTATAATGACAGTAAATATTCCTTTTCCTGTTTCTTTGTAACACATATTTGCATCCAATGTACAATATTCTTTTCTAATTGCTGATTATCAGAAAAATCCTTTACTGTGTGTGATAAATTAGTAACTTTTTATATGGGATAAACAAATAATATGTGAGTATAACTTCAGTACTATTCAATAGATTTTATATATTCTTTTTCTATATATTAATAAAAAATGTTCACATTTTTAGTGTTAAAAGAGAGGTGCTTCCATTGGTAAAATCACTGTGCCAGGATGTGGAATATGAAGTTAGAGCTTGCATGTGTCGGCAGCTGGAACATGTAGCTCGAGGAATAGGGTGAGTGCAATTTGCCTGACTGATCTAAAATGCAAAGTATTTCTCTAAAATGTCAACCTAACAACTCCTTTTAAAATTGCTGAATTAATGCATACTCAATAATGAATTTGGAAGGTACAGATGTTCTTAGTAATTGGCTGTTGGCAGTTGTCTCTTTTCCACTTTTAGATTTTTCTTTCTCTTTTATAGTAAAATTGCTGAACCATAAACCAAACAGATTTTTTAAATAATGACTTCATCTATAGCTTCTTGAAATGATCTCAATTATCCATTGGTAGTATTTGTCCTATTTAAAAATTCTGACAAGTATTAGCAGTTTTAATAATTATTGTGCAGTGTTTTGAGAAAAAATGCTAAATGGCTTTTGTAAGCAAATTTCAGCTCAGTATCAACTTTTACTCAAACCTTGAGGGCCTTCAATATTCACACATAGGATTCAAAAAAGTCTGGAATTTTAATAAAAGAAAATGTTAATTACATACAGGATTGGTTTCTGACTGAACAAATATTTTAAAATTCGAGGTCTCTCTACCTGTTGTTTTGTCAGGGAGGAAAAAAACCAGTAACTTCTTTTAGAGATTGAAAATTTATCAAGTAACATTCCTTACCCAGTGCTAGACAGCAGAGATATAGATTAGATCTTATACTAATAAGTAACCATACTGGAAAAGAAATTTTCTAAATTCTGTTTAGTGTCTTTAAAATGAACTAAATTTCATTTATTCTAAATTTCACTTATTCTGGGAGTTGAAAGTTTAAAAAAATCATATGTATTATGCAGTGGCAAATGACAGCACTACTGGTAATTTACCCCACCTTAGAACAGTAGGTTTCATAGGGCTAAATACTTTGTTATCAATTACTGATCTTTCCTGTGTATTTTTTCTTTGATTCTTTCCTCACCAACTTTTATTTTTAGCATTAATGTATTCATATAGACTGTTCTAACTCTGAAGTTTTTGCTTAATTCCTTCTCAGTGCTTTAGGTGATTTAATCATCTCATGAGAAATGGTGGACATTGAGTGCTTTCATTATGGAAGGTATTCCAATGTGTCATGTTGAGGATGAATAAGTAGTAGGTAAATAAAAAAGTAACTAAACAGACATGAGCAAATTTTCAGGTAAATGTTGAAGGTATAATGTGACAGCAGTCCAAATACTTATTTTTACTAGTTAGGGTTATTGCCACTTAAATGATCTGTTATTTTATCATAATTTTCTTTGAATATTTAATCATTTTCTTGGAAGAATACTGTTAACACCTCTTGATTTGCTGGTAGGTAAATAAACTCTATAAGATGCAAATCACTTTGTTGCTGATTATAAACATTTGAAAGGATTATTGTTTATATTGACTTACAAAAGGGGCAGCTGTTACTGCTTTAGTCTGATTGGAAGGGATATTTTGAGCATTTTTATTTCAGCATCCTGGAGTTAAGTATCAGCAGTATGTCAGTATGTACCAAGGCAAAAAAAGGACAAACAGAGCCCTTTTTTTACTACTTTAAACCAAGGCCAAAAGTCAGTGTTTAGACTAGTTGGGAAATGGCATTTTTTCTGAGCAGTAGATGTTCTCTGTAAAGAAGGCTCATCTTTGATTTATAAAATTTCCAGACACTTCAATCCAGCATGGCTCATATTTATTAAATTTTGACTTTGGACCCTCATATTGAGCATATTTGATCATAGGAATTTTCTTAGTGATACAGTGAAATAGCTGGAGTCCTTTGATTTTTTTTTCAGACTACATTTTCTCTAATTGATTTTGAGCTAATTTGAATGCTTTTTTAATGATGAAGTTCTGCATTTAAAGTTTGCATGTTTCCTTGGTTGACAAAGAAGAAAAGTCCTGAGATTTGCTGGAGGTTTTTTATTTAACTTTAATTTCCTTTAGAACTTGGTCTGTTTTTTCCTCTTGGCTACCCAAAAAATATCTAAATGAATATTTCAAGGCAGAATTCTGTTTTTCAGTGGCAGTATTGTTTCATTTTAAGTTTTCTTTTGACTGCTTGCTTCACGTTGCAGGACAGAACTAACAAAAACTGTGGTGCTTCCTGAGTTAGTGGAGCTGGCAAGAGACGAGGGCAGCAGCGTACGCCTGGCAGCTTTTGAGACCTTGGTGAACCTGCTTGATATGTTTGATGCAGGTAAGAACCTAATTTAGGCTTCCTAGCCCAATTCTTAGTGCTCTAGTGCATCTTATAATGGTATTTAAATGCTTTTTGTTCCAACTGCATTATTCAGACATTTCTGATTTTATTTTATTCATTGCTTTGTCCTTTGTATTTCCTTATATTTCATGTCTTGCAGTGCTTTATATGCAGAAAGTTTAAAGGGAGGTGAGCTAGTTGTCCATGAAATTAATTATCATATTCCAAGTTTCTAATATAATACACCTAAATAGAATGAGTAAAATTACTGCATAAATTATGGGAATATTGTGTTGCTAGCATTTAACTAATTAATGTAGTGCTATCAGTACACAGAATACAAAGTGTTAGCTCAACAAAAATGTACTGTACAGCAACTTGGTGATGAATTACTACAATATATGTATTTAAGCCATTTAGAGGAGTGGATAAGAAAAATATAGTATAGCTTTGGGGAGAATACTGTAAATGGACTTTTTAGCAGTGAGTGTTTATACCAGTAAGTATGATAGTAGGTTAACTTTCTAGTTCTTGAGCCTCTGTATTGGTGCTGTTAAGTTTGTGCTTCTCTTTGCACCTCTCACCCTTCACTCCTCCTCCTGCACTCCCTGCTGTAACTACTGCTTTGAGTTACTGTGAGAAGCTTAGAGATGGCAATCAGGGGTTGTTTACAGGTTTTTAAGGAATGTGTCTAGAAGTTGGGTTTGTGTGGGTTTTGCTTTCATGGCTGAAATAGAAAATGAACACTTTTGAAGGCAGATGACCCAATATTACATCCTAGAGTGTCCCTCCCACAATATTAAAATATTTCTTCAGGCCAATCTAACTTTGTTCAGACACAATTATTTGCTGAATTTTGCAGTTGATCTACCATTAAAAAAATCATTATCCCTTTAAAACTCAAACATTTTAATACAATGATTTTATTTAAAATAAGTCTAAAGATAAAAATTTCTTCAAACATTTGCTCATTTATTTTATGAGAACAGAGAGTGTTTGGATTTGGCTTTAATTTCCAAATTATTTAATTTATTTCCTGTGTCCTTAATTATTTTGTTTCTCTGTGAATTGATTGTATACCAAAAGATTTTGAAACACTTCTCAGTAGGTTTAAAAAATTAACATAGAGAATATCCTGATTTTTCTATTTACTGTCACAGCCTGTTCAGTCTTGATCTCACTGTATTCTTACTATTGTGGGAAATCTTGTTGTAGGAGTACTGCAGTAGTCTTTCTCTATATATTCTTGGTGAATGGAGAAGGTAGTCACTGTTTATTTATTTTCTGCCTCATCCTTTGCTGGGGGATGCCTTTTCACTAACAACAAACAAAAAATGAACATAACAGGAAAGTACTAAATTTAGGATCTTTCTCTCTACCTCTTGTTTTGTACCTTCAGTGAGTGCCTGCCAGAAGTAATCCTGAGAATGTCAAAGAAATTTTTCTCAATTTATTACAGAAGTTCAGTCTCTGTACTCTTTTGAAAATGTTGACAAATGGCTAACTCTAAAAATTTCTTTTGTTTTTCAGATGATCGGAGTCAAACTGTTCTCCCATTAGTGAAATCGTTCTGTGAAAAATCCTTCAAAACAGATGAATCTATCCTAGTTTCTTTATCTTTCCATTTAGGGAAACTGTGTAATGGATTATATGGTATGATTTAATCTCTTTTTAAAAATCTGAAACGTGAGGGAAGATTGGAGAATTTGAACCCCTTGGAATGGGGAGAAAAAGGAAATGGTAGTTGGTTAGATTTTGGAAATTTCTTCTTCAGGTGACTATCTGCATATTGTTTATTATTGTTTTTGTGTTGTTTAGACTTGGTCAAAGATGGAAACATGGTGTTTCATCTTTATTGGTTTGACTGATTTTTTGGGGTATTCTGGAGCTTGTTATTTGGATGAATTTTTGAAACTAGAAACCTCTGAAAACATTATGATGTTAACTTTGTTCTTTTCTGGGCTTGATCTCCTTTTTAAGGCACAGTGCAGAGTGTGTCCCATAAAGAATTTCAGGGGAGAAAGGAGATGCCATGTGGATTCCCCAGCTGCAGCTGAGGCCAAATCTGTACTCATTACTTTTATATCCATAATCTGTGCTTGAATTTTCACTTGAGCACAGCACAATTTTCCTTGATAATTCTGCCCACATATATTACCTTTGGAGGAAGAGCACAGAATCATGGCTTTACATTATAATTTTCCTCTAGACTCTTAAAACCTTTGATCTTTCCTACAGGTCTTTAAAATGAACCTTCGTGATTATTCTAGAGATAATCAAAGTGACCATTGCTTCACTACAGATTACTTGAAATGGCTGTTCCACAGTTTCAAAATGTTATTTTCAGAGACAGAGAGCTAGAACAGTCCATCCTGTGTTTATCATGTTTTTCCAGTCTTCTTTTCTCTAGGTTGAATGACTAACTCATGATCTTTCTTCACCTCTGAACTCCATCTGACAAGTTCATATTTTGCTCAGAGCATTACGCCTTAGGACAGTTGAATGAAAGGATTTCTTCACACATCTTGCCAAATACATTGCTGTTCACATTTTCTAGTATGAAAAATTGCCTTTAAAAAAAAATCTAGCAGCTAGTCTTTCTCTTTCCTGTCCTTGTGCAGGTGATGCAGATCAGGCCAAGCATGGTACCTTACTGCTGTTCTAATGGAATAATAGTATTAAGACCATATGTCCAGTTACTGAAGATCATTTTAACTCTGTCTTCCTGAAGAATAAGCAGTCTCTGTCCTTGGTTGATGCTTTCAGAATTCTGAATAGGCAAAGTCTCTTGTCTAGCATCTAGAATGTCAGTGAAAATACCAAATAGTACCACAACTGGGATAGAACTTACTTTATACCATTGCCTATCTTGTCACTAGTATATGGGTAGTTTTCTCTTAGTTGTTTTTCCAAGCAGTTTTGGAGCACTTTTATAGTTTTTAATCTATCATTCCTGTTCCCTTGTGAAAGTCATGAGCCTTATTGCCTCTTTTGTTTCACAGGTCCTGTTATCCCATACTAGAAGGAAATTGAATCAGTTTGACAAATTTTTCTTTTACCATGTTGGCCACTGTTATTTTTTGTGAGAGGATATATGTGGGTGTGTGTGTATGTTGGTATTTAGTAGTAGATTTTTTTTTGTTTCAATTTTTTCAAAGGTGTGAAAGTAGCCTGCTTTACATAATTATATGGCTTGTCCTTTCCCTCTCCAGCTATTAAATATAAGTACCACTTTAGCCCTTTTCTATTCTATTATTTAAGATTTCAACAACTAGTACTTTGAGTACTGGAATGAAGCACATCTGACTGCACATTTTGAAAACCTCTTGTTTAAGATCCACTGACCTGTTGTTTCTCTACTTAAAGCTTGAATTTTTGTCAGAGTTATTAATTATACTCAGCCTGATGATATTAGTGGAATTTGAAAAGAAAAATTCTTGAGAATTTCAGCCTTCTTGATACCAATCAATGATATCTTTTCCTTGCCTTCTGGAATAGAAAATTGAGCCTTTTCTTGGTTATTCTCTTATTACTAATGTACTTGTAGTTTTTTAATTCTTCTTGCTAATTACATTCCAGTTTGTTCTGAGTACTTGTGTGTAGTAGATTCAAGGGGGATAGGAGGAAGAGGAGGGATAAAATCAAGTTATTTGATAGATTTTAAAGTGAGATTTGTTTGGGTACATTATTAATAGCATTTGTAATGAGGAAAGTTTGTTGTTTTGTTTGGTTTTTTTTTTTTTTTTCTTTTTTTGAGGCATTTTTACTCCTGAACAGCACTTGCGGTTTTTGGAATTTTACAAGAAGCTTTCCACACTGGGTTTACAGCAGGAAAATGGGCATAATGATAATCAACTACATCTGCAAACTCTGGAACAGGAAAAGAAGTATATTTCAGTGAGGAAGAACTGTGCTTACAATTTTCCAGTAAGTAATATTAATTTAATATTTAATATTAATTTGTGTTGTACATATAGTTCCCTATATAGGACTATACAAGTGATAGAGGAGTTATTCCCAAGTTATTAGCTAGATTTAGCTCTTTCCTGCAAACTTTCAGTTAGTGAGCTTGTGCAAAAGAGTTAGGAAATACTACTTTTTGCAGAGCCTCAGAAAATTATTGGCAAATTCAGACTGAGGAAATGGTGTTCTAAGAGTTTACTGGTCTTATTCTTTCTTACACATTTTTTCCAGAAACTTAGCACAAAGGATTTGGGAAAAGGTCTGTGAAACAGAGTCCCCAGTTTCAAACCACTTGAATCTACACTTCCACATTCATTGTGTGTCACATCATTCTAGGGAGTTGGAGATTGAAACTGAATGCTCAGGTTGATGTTTTGGTCATGTTCCTGCCTGAGTACAGAAAGACTTTTCAATTTTATGTGAGGTCTTTAAATACACCAGTCATATTTCTGTAAATCTACTTTGTATTTTGACATTCTGCATTTGTATTCAATGAAAAGATGTTTGCACCAAGAGCCAGTAGACAGCTATTTTTTCTTCTGCCTTTTAAAGGCAAACACAGAAGCAAAAACGTAGGTAGACATCTGTTGGTTTATTTGAGCAAAACCAAGGTATGTACAAACACAATCATATTGAAATTCAGATTCTTCCTTTTCTGCTTGCTGAAGTGTTCTTTGTTTTTGAAGTATCCATTTGCAGTTTTTGCTAGAGTGCAGAAACATTAGCAATATTTATAAATTTGAAGTTTTATATCTCATGGTTTTAGTCTTTATCTTCAAAAAAACAGCCTGCAGCATGTCTGGAAGATAAGTTAATTCAGTTTAGTTCTCAACTCTGGATTTTGCCTGGTGCCTGTGTTTTAACAAGGCCAGCAAAACCTCCACACTTCCTCTGTAAAATAACAACCTGTTACCTCCCAAGTTCATCTGATAATATCTGCTAGTGTCATCCTTTAGCTGTGTAGTTTAAAAAGGACTTTATCCTTCCACAGGCCATGATTGTTTTTGTGGATCCAAAGAACTTCCATTTAGAACTTTATTCTGTATTCTTCTGCCTTTGTCATGACCCTGAAGTTCCTGTCAGATATACCATGGCCATTAGTTTCTTTGAAGTAAGTCTACAATGGTTCTTTGTTACTGTTCACATAGTTTTATTTTATTTTGTTTTCATCTTTAAGCTTACATTTGTGGCTGTTCAACCAAAATAGACATGAGAAAACGTATTGAAATGATTTAGTTTTTCAAGGGTGTTTGGTTCCTTCTAACCTCGGTATATAGCCCATTTACACACATTATTTTATTTAAGTTGTGTGACATTTGTCTACAAGAGATTACTGCTAGGTCAGATTGTAAGGAGCAATGAAAAAAATGTACAAATGCATAGGTATTATTAACTCTATGGAGTGAATTCCAGAAATTAAAATGTGTTTCATAACACTTGTGTTTCAGTCTTTGAGCTTAGCTTTGATCCCATTTTTTTTCTAGGGAAATTGGTAAATTAAGCAGTTTGCTGAAAACTTTTAAATGAATAGTAGAGGGAAAAATGGCTTTACTTCCACCATTGTAAGAAAGATGTATGGATTTCCAGTTCTCATTAGCTATTGATATCTTGTTTTAATGAATGATAGTCCAACATAATTGTTGAAATTGTAAAATTAGCACCAATTCTACATAATATTTTGTTTTAGCTGCATAGCACTATTAAAGTACTGTCTGAATATAAGGAAAGTATTTTAGCTCATTAAAAAAAAAACCTGTAAAATTTTACCTTAGTCTAAATGTACATTTAGTTCTTGTTGATTTAATTTTAACAGTTTAACTAGGCAACCACCTGACAGGCAAAAATGAGTAATTTATGGCATTCCCTGCTAGCTGGATTACTTTCCAAAAAATATAAGTCCTTGTAGCCATTTCCTTAAAGCTTCATATTGATTGGAAGTAAGCTCTTATTTTCACTTGCCTTAAAGGAACATTAAAAAAAATAATCTAAATATTTCTTGTGGCAAAAAAAATCTCATTCCTCAAGTTTGTGTTATGCTTGCTATAAAAGCTTTTTAATAGCATGGAGATGGACTGCTGGTGTTTTTTAAAAATCTACATAAGACTTATGAATCACATGAGTCAGTCACAGTCAAAAACCAAAAGGAGTAAGGAGTGGAAACTTCAGGTGGAAGGTTTGGGAAACTTAAAATCCAGCACAGGATAAGAAAATTTTGCATTTCATCTTCTGTAAATTATACAGCAGGCTGACTCTTAACTCTCCTAATTTACAGCATTTGAATATTCCTCAAGGAAATTTCTAGCCTTGCAGTGCAGTGTAAAAAATTCTTGTTAAATGTGAATAGAGTTAATTCCAAAAGAATGTTTCATAGTTAGATAATAGACCTGTTTCTTGTCTCATGTTCTTTATATAATCTTGTTTTTAGTGTGATCGGGGGAAAGTACACAACTTTAGGAAGCTGATATTAAACACTTCTTTCTGTGTCTCTTCATGCTTGCTGTAAAGTAAGAAAGCAGTGTTGTGCCATAGAACTAAAGAATGTTTCACCTTGCTATCTTACTGTCATTTTCTAGGTTGCTAAGCTTTTAAATTCTGATGTGTATACAATACATAAAGAACTGGTTACACTGTTACAGGATGAGTCACTGGAGGTAATACACTTTTACTGGAGCTTTTTTTGCTTGTTACATCGAGGCAGATAATCTTCATGTTTAATAACTCTTCACTACCATAGTAGAGTAACAATTTGAAATGATTAACAGCTTTTTACGTCTATTGCACAGACTCTGCATAAAGACGCCAGCCTTCTGTGAATAAAAAGGAGGAAAATAGGAAGGTGTTTGAATTTAGTAAACCCACACTAAATTTATTAGCTTTTAAAAATACTAATTCTAAATAGTTTTAATTGTAGGTTAATAGTTAATAGTTAATTGTAGGTAATAATTATTTATTACCTTGCAAACTCTAAAAAGCTTTGGGTTTGGTACTATATTAAAGTAATAGTTGATAGGATTCAAGGTCTTTTGCTTTGTTTCATTTTTATTGTCCAGTTGAGGAGGAGATAAAGTTGTGTATGGTTTGAAGATCAAGATTTACAGAAAGAGTTTTGGTCCATGGTAACTTGCATAGAACATGAATCAGTTACATTGCAGTTAGCACAGTGAGACTTTTTAGGATGTAAAAAACAGACATGTTCAAGAAAAAAATGACCATTTCCTCTGATACTGGTTTCTCTGGTAGTAAGTTAGACTACTCCAGTTAGAAAACTTGTCTGATCACATAAATAAAAACTGAGGCCTGTAATGCTTATATTACTTACTGCATTAAAATATCAGTCATCAATGCAACTAATCTCCATTTTCCTTTCAATATGAGAGAGCAGTAACTTGAAAGGTGTCAGCAGGGATATGTTGGTGAGAGTTAAAAATGGAGTTAATTTACAGACCTCTTTCATGCAGCCTTTCTTTAAATAGGTATTAGATGCTCTAGTAGGTCACCTTCCTGAAATCCTTGAACTAATGACTAATCGAGGAGAAAACAATGGATCAGAAAGCAAGGTAGGTATTCTCATGGGGTTTTTCAAATTTTCTTTCTAAATGAGGGTAGTAAGAAATTTCAGACAAATTTTGTAGGAAGAGGCTTTCATGATTAGTTTCTGCTTTGAAGAGATACAAAGTTTCCATTTCTTTTTTTTTTTATTGTTGACATTATAAGCTTTAGCATTAAAAAATTTGGAAAGATTAGAGTTAATATGAAAATTTACAGTTTATACATGTTCTTTTTCTAATTAACCACAGGTAAGTGAAAACAAAACTTGGTTTTGTGTTAAGGGATTAATAGCTAATACCTAATTTAAATTTTTTCATATCGATGTATCAATTGCTCATGGGTGCCATTTTCAGGCTTCTGCTAGAAGAAAATCTATTTCCTGAAGTGAAGACACTGAATTAAGAGATCTGTACTCAGCTCACATCTTTTCTAATTTAATTGTATGTGGCTCTGGATGATGGTTTATTCCCTGACTCCTCACCTCTAAGATGGAACAGAAAGGTTGCTGGTTTTGAGCATACTTCCTAAATGTATGATAAATTGAGATATTGCAGTAGTATAAGAACTGAAGAAATTTATTTTCTTGTACGTGAAGAAGTTGACAGCGTAATTCAAAAATTTGAATTTGTCAGTTGTTTACAGCTGTAAATATATATAACATATAGAAAATGCAATGCCAGGTGTAGCAGTTTGTTTAATTTCTCTTAATATTAAAGGGAATTTAGCTTGGCTACTAAAAATTCTTTGCCTTCTACTGAGAAAAAGAGTACAATTCCTACTAAAATTAATTCCTACTAGAACTAATTAGGGGATTGAGAACAATAACTGCAAAGATTAAGAGGATAAAAGAGAATTGGTATTCATTTGGTTTGAGAAAGAGAGTGCTGAGGAGAGTTGGTGTAATGGTTTTAATATCTGTAAAAGGGTGTTCCAAAGAGAACGGTGTTTGTCAGGAGAAGGGATTAGAGATGAAAGTGTATTTAGCTAGGTACTAAAATACCTTTTGTATTAGTCTTCCCTTCTTCTATTGTTGTGATTTTCTTTTTAAGTATAGTGACAAGACACACAGCTTGAGAATGTAAAATTATTGTTTATCTTTCTGTTTCTAGTTACTCTCTATTCCTGACTTGATTCCTGCATTAACGACAGCAGAACAGAGAGCAGCGACTTCTTTAAAATGGAGAACACATGAGAAGTTACTGCAAAAATATGCTTGTCTCCCTCATATCATATCAAGTGATCAGATCTATTACCGTTTTCTCCACAGGATGTTGACAATCATTTTGACAAATGTGAGCCCACCTGTCGCTTTCTCATTTGTTTTGGTTTGTTAATTCAAGTTAGACCACTGGGTATTTGCTCTGTGTAGTACTTCCTGTGTTGTATTAAATTCCTATCCTTTTCATATGGTATATCAAGCCCTGTCATTATTTCTATGAGATTTTTTGCTGAAAACTTGCCCCCATTTGAGGAGCAAAATTTGGATTGACAGTTTTCCTCCTACCTAAGACTTCTTCCTTTCCTTGTGCTCATCATTGTTTGTTTCTAGATAAATCAAAACCTTTTCCTCTGAAATATGCCTTCTTTTTCCTGATTCCATACATTAGTGTTTGTTCTTTATGAAAGAACTCTGCATTTCTAAAATAAATTTTCATTTAGAGCTACTAGTCTGAAATTTTTCTGAGTTAATTCAAGAATAAAACTGTTGTAAAAGAAGATGATGTAAATTTTATTTCTAACACCTGCAATACAGAAGGTGCCTTGCCAAACATGGAATATTTTAAGGTGCTTATGGAATAGTTAAATCTACAAGTTGGGCAGAAGGAATAAAGAAGCAGGTGTCTCATGAATTGGCCAAACTTCCTAATTCTCCCTTATGTTATGGCATTTATTTAAAAATTCATAAAGTTACGCTACTTTTTAGCTATTTTTCTTCTAATTCTATAAATGTTTTTAGTCATACTCCTGCAGATACATTTAACTGTGTTCCTTTAATTTCTTTCAAGAATGTCCTGCCAGTGCAGAAAGCAGCTGCTCGGACTCTGTGCGTTTATTTGCGCTACAATCGCAAACAGGAGCAGAGACACGAGGTTATTCAGAAACTGATCGAACGTAAGAGATGATCTTTCCTCCATTACTGAGAAATGAAAGTTAGTTTTGGCTGAAGATCTATTTACAGTTACATTTATTCAGTGTAATTTCCTTCCATCATCGGAAGGACTACGCTTCGAAGACATTCAGTTGCTCATATTATCACCAGCAAAATGTACTGTGCATATGTGAGGAATAGAGCTGGAGCTATATAGGTTTATATAAAGGGCTTGGGGAAGAGGCAATGCAGAAACTGATAATATGCCAAGACCCCTCAACCCTACTTCCATTAGCCAAAATTACTAATTGTGGGTGCAGCAATATAAAAAACAGAGTTCCGCTGTAGAAGTAAAATTCTCTAGAGACTTCAGCATAATAAATCTCAGAAATTAATTTATTAATCAGTCACCTAAATTTGATGTTTTGGTGTGTGCTATGTGTTTTAAAGATAGCTTAGAAGTTTTAACAGTTCTCATTAACATTCCTTGATGTTAACACAGTAATTTTGATACTTCTGTGACATGGTTTGAAAGGCATACAGGACTTTGTTTAACACTGTAGGTAGTTCACTCACTCTGTTGCTTTTTCGAGTGCTCACTGACAGAATTAATTGAATTCAGAATGTTAGTTTTTTACTAAAAGAAAGAATTGAGATAGGCTGAGAATATGTCTTTTGATGCCTGTGATTATCATCTTTTAAGTCAAAGGTCAGCCTGTGAAATGTTTTCTATCTGACATTGAAAACTTGACAGATAATATCTGCAAATTTTTATTTTCCAGAACTGGGCCAAGGAAAAAGTTACTGGAACAGACTTCGTTTTTTAGATACTTGTGAATTCATTATGGAACTGTTTTCAAAATCATTTTTCTGTAAATACTTCTTTTTACCTGTGCTTGAACTTACCCATGACCCAGTGGCAAATGTCAGGTATGTAGACTATGTAGCAGTGTACAGGAAAAAGAGCAATAAATAATATATTAGAAATACTGTTAAAAGTTTTATGTTTTGCTTAAATAATGGAATTGAATGAAAACATAAAGAGCTTTCAGAATGACCAGTACTAAAGATGCAGAGGAGTGTGGGAATGGTGCTAGAAAATCCAAGAAGCACGTCAGTATGCAACTGATAAAGTTAGGTGTGCATATCGCTTGGAAAATCCAGACGTTTCCTTATTTTTCTAGATTTTAAAAAGAAACCCAGACAAACCAAATGTGTTTATGGACTGTATTCATGATCTATAGAGACTTTTTGAAAACAGTATGTCTGGAATCAACACATAAGCAACAATCACTTCTGAAAAATAAGACCACTTAATTATTTTGTGTCAAATGCTAGCATGCAATGCATTGAGAATTAATGATTTATGTTAAGCGTCTGCATCAAAAGGTGAATATTTGGGTTGTTTGTTTGGGTTTTTGTTTTGTAGAATGAAGCTATGCTGCTTGTTGCCAAAAGTCAAATCTACTCTGAAGATTCCCACTGATAAACATTTACTTCAGCAGTTGGAATTATGTATAAGGAAACTTCTGTGTCAAGAGAAAGACAAAGATGTCTTGACTATTGTGAAAAGAGTAAGCATTTTTCTTTTTAAGCAGCGTTTAATCTTGGGTTTATCACTGAAAGTTAAGATGACTAAAGTTATGCTTTCTGTGGATTTTCTCAATGTAAGAACAGGAGATTAAAAAATTCCATTCTCTATTATGTAATTTTGAACAATTAAAAGATGATGTAGTATAGTATGTTCTGTGAAATTTAGAAGTGTTAATTGTTTCCTTGGTTACTTATATTGCAGTTATTTTGTAGTGATTCAAATTCAGGATTTTGACTCAATGACCATTTATAAAAAAAAAAAAGACTAGAGAAAGATTGAATATTGATTCTAGTAAAACTCATCAGGTTTGTGAGACAGAGATATCTTGTTAGACTAGATATTTTTCAATATACAGACAAAGCATTTGCAGGATTTTAAAATGTTACAAATGTCTTTTTAATGTGAATATTCAAAAAAGTACATCTTTAAGGAATGTCCATGCTTAGACTCAAATTTAGAAACCATGAAGTGAAATAGCTCAAGTAGATGGCTTCCTTACAGGGCCAGTCTGCAGGAGAGAGACTGGGTGAAAACCTGTGTGGAACCTTCTGAGTTGGACACAGGTTCCTGAGTTGCTTTTTTCAGTCCTGGTTCCTATGCCTGTGCTATAGCTATTCTTGCTGTGGTGCTTCCTTGAGTGTATTTTGATTTCCATACAGATATTCTGTGAATCTATTCATTGTGAGTCTCAGCAGGGCTCTGAGAATACTCTCTGATAAACTTTTATGCAGCTTTTAAACTGCATTTGTGCCACAAAAATAAAAGCATAGGCTTCAAATATGTAGGAAGAAAAGGCAATTCTTTACTTCATAGTGTGGCATGCTGTAGAGTAATAATAAATAATGGTTTAATTTTCTTTGTAGACAGTGTTAGAATTGGACAGAATGGAGATCTCTGTGGATGCTGTAAGTACTTACTAACTTTAATACTTATAAACTCCTCTTAGTTTCCAGTTTCATGTAGTGATTTTTTATTTTTATTGATTTTACTTTGAAGTTTCAGAAAAGATTTTACGAAAATGATTTATTGGATCAAGAAAAAGAGAGACAAGAACATCTACTTTTGGAAATGGTATATTTTATCAGTACACTGTCATTATTTTAAAATAGTTTCTAGCTCTATATTAATGAGGCAGTAATTTTAAGGTAGGGGAAATGCATATTTTGGAGAGACCTGATAGGTTCATTATCTGTGTGTGGTTTCTCTTTGTAATAGGGTTAAGTCCTTCACAGTAACATGTAACATTTTTCCTTACTACCTAAATTGTGCTGTGTCAATTAGAAAGGCAAACTTGAGTTTCTTGAGAAATACCATGTATAACATGATAAACTGACCAATGGAATTGGAATTCACATACAGCTTCCCTAGGCAAGGAAATTAATCTCATAACTTCTTTTGTCCCAAGGAAGCCAAAGAATGCTCTGTGTTACAGGCTTTCCAGTTAGCCAGGAAAGAGAGAAAAGCAGAAGGTGCAGTAGGCACTTGAGCACACAGCTTGTATCTTCACCACATCTCCACAAAGCCTAAATTAGACCACAGCAGTCCTCCTGTCTGCTGCCTCCCCTCCACCTCCAGCCTGAGGTGGGAGAAGCTGAGCAGCTGACAGGATTCAGAAGATCCTAAAATTGTTAGCATGGTTCCTCTGACTTGTAGTAAATGAACTTCTTTGTAGTGAACCAGAAGAGATTCAGGAGGGTCCCAAAAATGTCTTTGTTTCCTCCTTGTGGTCCACTTTGCTGTCAATAGGTATTGCAAGTCAGTATGAGCAAATATACCTGAGCCACAGATTTCCTGCCACTTCCAGTGTCCTGGGCCAGCTGGATTCTCAGACCTGCACACACACTCAACTCAAAGTCTTGAACTTGGCTCAGGCAGTCTGCAGGTAGATACACTTAATGCTTTTATACTGAAAGGGTTTGCCTGGTGCAAAAGAGCCTCCAGTGCTACTGTTGTTGTATGATGACATCAATTTTTACCCTGTTTCTACAGCTGCAGTTTAGAAAAGCACCTGAATTTTTATGGTTTAGGCCACCGATCTGTGCCACCCTTTTGTATCACAAAGGCCTCATTGGCACTGTCTGTGAGAGCCATGCTTTTGGGGAACCTGAGAGGCACACAGTGAAGTGGGACATGTTGCAGTCCCAAACAGATGCAGAGCCATTCAACCCACTTAAATGATCTGACTGCCAGAGATTTTAGTACTGAATATGTTAATAAGTTTCCTTCATTTTAGTAGCTGATTTTGTAGGAACTATTTTCCGGCAACCCTGACCTGAATTAATTACCTCTTTCTTTTCTTGACTGGGTAGTAATTAGAATGGCATGAAAAATATAGATTAGAGCAATTATGGTTCACTTAACTTTTATTGTGAAAATGGTATAGAAAATTAGCTAATATTGTGTAATTTTTTTAAGCTGGTGTGATATCTACTCATCAAATGGAATATATTTTTAGGCTGGGTAGTATTACAGAAGGGCAAATAAATTCCATGAACCTGAACAATTTTACATAGTTGATTTTGTCATAAAGATTTATCAACTTTAGATTTTAGTTCTTTATAAGTTTGAATATATGTGACACAGCTTAAAATTTAAGAAAAACATTTTAATTGAATTGTATGAAATAAAAGTGTTGCCTGGTCTGTTTTCAGGGTGTCTGTGTTACAGAACATTTTTACATTGCCAGCTGCCAATGTCTGTATCTTTTTGAATATAAAAAATGCCAAAAGCTGGGCATAATTTTAATTATAAGTTATAGATGTGAACTTCAACTCTGAGCTTTCTTCAGATTGTGGTTTTAAAATGAGATATGTACCCTGATTTCTTTCTGTATTACTTAATTGGTTCTCTGGATATTCATCAGGGATTGTAGAGCAGGAGAGTAGAAATAAACTGTTACTTGGAAACACATTTATTTACTTTTACCTGAGTAATATCTAAGAAAATTATTCATTCTTTTAGGAACAATTAGAAAAAGAGAAGCAGAAAAATGAAGGAAGATCTACAAATATTAATGATAAAATGTTCGAAAAGAAACGTAAGTTTGTTTATGTACATGTTTATGCATGCTTTAGTCTTCTACAAAGGTAGTAGAGAAAGGAGCAGGAAAGAGACACTTTATACAATAAACAAAGATTTAGAAATTGGATATAAAAATTGTTTCTATGTATTAATGAAGTTGTTTACGAAAAATGGCCTCATATTATGTATAATATATAATAACCCATATATTTTATTTTGGCTTTATTAATAAAATACATTACAGTTTTAGTTCTCTGTTATTTTTCATTTTGGGTTATAGTGTAAGTACTTGTCTGTGGTATTTCTGAAGTGCTAGTAGCACTGGATTAGATAGTATTACTCTTTGCTCCAGGACTGATATGTTATGTCCTCTCTTTTATAAAAAATTAACTTTTAAGAGGGAAGGGATTTTACCAGACTTTTTTTTTGTAGGTAGAGACAGTAAAACATCATCAGTGTTGGCAAAAAGTATCAATCTCTCTATTTCTGGAAGCTCTTCTGGTACATCAGCAGGTAAGAAGAGTTCAAAAACTCACTGAAACACTTTGATTTCACATCATCAGATTAAACCCCAGCAAAGCTGCTTCTGACATCTGTGGACCCAAGTTACACCTACTGCACAGAGGAAAAGATACTTCTCCTAGAACTGAATGTATTTTCTCTGGTTTTTAGTTTTGTTTCATTCTGTAATATATAAATAGTGACTTAAGGATTATTTTTTAAATTAAAGTATTTAAATCATCTTGTTCCTTCATTTATCATAGATTGACAGAAAAATATACTTAAAAGTGTTCTTAATTATTGAGGAAATGCAATATTCATATTAAAAAATGTTCTTTATAATTTTAGGCAAAGAAGAAAAAAAATCCAAGCTGGTTCGAAGCCAATCTTTCAGTACTCAAGTACTGCATCCAAAATACAGCAACATAGACAAGTGCCCTAAGTATCTTTATAATCTTCATTGCTTACCTCATAGGCAAATGTTTGCTAATGGACAGCTCTTATGAAATTAGTGCTCATGGATCTCTGAAAGCAGTGATGTGCTCACTGAATTGTGACTTATATTTTCAGCTTTCTGTTTAATTGATTAACTGAAGGAAGAAACATCTAAGGCATGCTGAAGCCTAGAAATGGTTATGAATTCCTTTTAATTTAATAAATGTCACCTTTTATCATATATTAAAAGTAATTTTCAATATGAATTGCTAAATCTAATTTTATACATTTCTTAATACATTTCAGCAAACTTTCTCATTTAATTTCTTCATATTATCTCAGAAATAACCTCCAATACTATTAAACTGCAGGATGATATAATTGAGAGGAACACTTTTGGAAATAACCAATTTGGTTTTGTTCTGTTTGGTTTTTTAAAGTAAAAGTTCTGCTACAGGATATACATCTTCAGTACCAGGGATGGGAAAGAGTTGTATGTTATCCTTTAGTGGTAAGTAGGTCACTATAATGTGTTTTACTTCAGTTTTTTTGCTTGGTTATTGAACATATGGGCCCAATTAGGCAGGCATACTCTAAGGTATCATTCTCCTAAAGAAAACAGAATAATAGATATCCAATAGATTTGGGCATTTAAGTGCTAGTCTAGTAAGTATTTTTCAGATTCTTTTTTTTTTCCTACACATTTGTTTTAATTTACATTTAAAAACAGTAAAAGTAAACTGAGTTTGTCATGTCCTGGTTGGAATTTCAGGTATCATAAAAAGGTTGAGTTTGGAGTTTTTCTCCACCTATTTTACATGAGGAGAATGCACATTATGTAAAAATTCTACTGAATTAAGAGAGAGAAACTACTGTTTGTGGTTCTGTCCACTAAATTTTAAAGAGTTTGGATGCTTAAAGATAAGATTGAGATGAATGGCTTCCTAGAGAAACCTTTCTTTCAATTCACTACCATTAGCCACTAGGCAGTTAAATTACATTAAAGAGCTAAATTTTAAGCAGCTAAAGTTCGGCCTAAGAAATCACACTCTTTACATACATTAAATATATTAATATTTTCTTTGAAAATGTGTATTCCAGTTATTTAGTGGTGCTGTTTAATAAAAATACTTGAAGAAATATTAAGTAGAAACCATTGCATTAAAATTTCGGATTAGTGCCATAGGAAATAAGCCACTATTGTCACAGGAAAAACAGCCCATTCTGTTTACTTTCTGTGCAGTGTTTTCAACCAAAGTTCTTTGTCTAAGCTGCCCCTCTGTGTTTCAGATGACTCCTTCAGGACTCATGCTGCTGGCAATAGTGGGAATGCTGCCTTCCATTCCAGCTCTTCTCGCAACTTATTCAACTCAGCTGACCACAAGAGCAATGGGAATAAGGAGAGTCAGACCCTCAGAAAGATGAGCATGTAAGTTGTTGACAAGATGTTAATCTGAGCCTAGGGGTAACATTTTCAAAGGGAACTCAAAAGAGCCATGTAAAAAAAATTAGGCCTGTATTTATTATACTTCTGCACACAGAATTTGAGATACTAAAATAGCAGGGTAGAAATGTGGTGTATGCAATTTTAACTGTTTCTAAGATGGCATTACCTTCTAATTAGTCTTTCACATTGTTTCTCCTGCACATATTTGCATTCAGCTGGTATATAATTGAGAGGGTGGAATGGGAAAAAGTGAAGGTTAGTGCCTTTGATATGTAATAACTACAGTCACAGTGATTTAGCTGCCTGTAGTTGGAGAAATAGAAGTATTTTTAGACTACTTCATTTCTAATTTTCCTTCTTTTTGTGGACTTATATATGTTTTATCATTATGTAACAATTCCATCATGAATCTTGAGCCTTACAATGAACTGGTACTGGTATTTGTTATTAATGCTGACTTCTTTGCCTTACCATTTACAAAAAACCAAAAATCAATGCTAGGCATCTCCCTCAGGCTGCTTTCCTTTAAACATCAGCCAGTGCTGTTCAGCATTTTGCAAGAACAAAATCAAAGATGTATTTTTTTCTCCTGTGCTAAAACTGTAAATCATAGAAAATCACTGTGACACACACTCACCCAGATCCCTGTAGACTCTAGCAGCAAATTCCCTGCAGATTCCTTTTACACTATAACTAAATTACTGTCATTGGACTAGCTGTAATTTTGTGGGCTCAAACTGAGACTTTTCTTTGCTAGAAGAGATTTGCATTCTTAGTCAAGGCAGAATGGAGAACGGGAAGGAGCCTGCTACAGCAATAAAAGGAGTCTGGGAAAGCAGACTTCAATGTACAATGTACAATGTACAATGAAATTACAACTGGAAGCTAAGATAGGAAAGAGAAAACATCTTATACTGGTTTGCTAGGTAGAGAGAGGAAACAATAGTGATGGTCTGTTTTGGTGAATTAAATATCTGGATGAATATATTTGTCCACTTCTGTATTTTCAGTTTCCTTTAAAAAAAAACCAAAATATCTTCCCAGCTTTAGTCAGGATTTTAAGTTAATAAAATTACTAAATTGCAAAATAAAGCACTAAAAGCTTTTACAAACAAAAAGAGAAATTCTCAGGACAATATTCGTTTAGCTCCTTGTGTACTTGATTTTTTTCCTGCTGGAATTCTACCATCTTCACTGTACAAGATAAATTGTTTTCTGGAATGAACTCAAGCTTACATAGTGACCTGTAGTTTTTAAAACTGCTTTTATTTTGTAGAGAAGGTTGGAAGCTAAGTTGTGAATGCAGATGGCCTCTGTTGAGTAAGTGGCTTCACAGGAGTAGTACTTAAAGGTGCCAAATCACTTTGCCCTCTGTCCTTGTCTTTGCCAGTGTCTAATGGCTTCTCTTAACACTACCCACAGCACTTCAGGCTTTTTATAGGTGATCATTAGGGGGTCACTTATTTCAAAGTGCACCATTTCAAAGTCAGCAGTTAGATTAGTAGACATGCTGACATTTTCAGCTATCTCTAAAGTAAATGGGGCATTTATCTTGAGAATAAAATGTAGTGGAGTGCTACATAGTTTAAAAAATCAGGTGTGCTCAAAACCTCATTTTCTTTCACCCTAATCACTGTATGCCTCTTTTCCTTGCTTTAAAACTAGAAAATTAGTTCAAATGTTGTAAATATTTTTAGCAATCTGTTGAAATTCCAATTACTTGCTGTCCCACAAGGATTTGGGGAAAAATGAATGGATTAATATTCATGAAGCAATGAGGTGCAAAGATTAGTTAGACATATTTTTTATCACATAAAACATTCCCAAATTTCAAAGGTTTTTCTATCTTTCATTTAAAATAAAACTGATATCTTTTGTTTAAATACAGAGGGATAGGAAAAGGCTCACAGAGAGCAGTTTGCACTTTTGTCTTCAGGCAGGAGAGTGGAATGTAAGAAACACAGCTTCAAGTCTCTGTGTACCATTCCCAAACAAATACCCTAAGAGCAGAGTATTTGAAAGTAGGTATCTGATCAAACACAGTGATCTGGGTGCTTTGTCAGGTTCAGAAAGTCCCTGAACTGCATAGGGTCAGAAGCTAAGAGGATGTATCAGGGGAAGAAAAACATTTTTGGGAAAAGAAGAGGAAGCTTAGGATGTTCTACATTTAGTTCTGAATAAGACTTTTAGTATTCTGTGTTCTTTTAGGAAAAGACTTCTCTCAATTTGGTCTGATTTCTGCTGTGCTGTAGATTCAACTTCTTGTTTGTAAACTGACCCAATACTTAACTGTTTTCATAAGAAAATGAAGCAGCTCTATGAGGAGACATTAAGAGATACAGATACAGGAATGTCTGGTGGTAAATGCATTCAATCACAGACATGTTTAGCTGTACTTTTTTATCTTTTACTCAGGAAATCAGGCCTGGTGCTAAATATTTGCACACTTAAATTAAAAATAAACAACAACAAACCAGAAAAAATGTCAGTTTCAAGGAAGCATTATTTTCTAAGTTTAATGATGGAAAAAATTGATATCCAAATATATAAGCAGCTGACAGAAATCACTCTGTGAGAAGAATTTGACAATTGTACAGTGAGAAGTACAATTGAATTGATGCTCAACAATGAGCATCACCTTTGGTGGACTGAATAAGGCAGAAAACTCACTAAGGTGAGAAAATAATATTTGGGTGTTTTTTTAGACTGTATCATTGTGCAGATTCATGTATGTGCTGGTTAAAATTTGCAGTGACCATCTTAATTCTGGCAAGACCTAACTTTTAGTTTCCTGGCTCTGCAACTTGAGTAGAGTAACTTCTAATATGTTTCTGTTTCTAAGTAAATATGTGGGCAGTAACACAATAATTAAATTATAAGCAGATAAAATTATTGATTCTTAGTTTGAAGTGGTATATGTTTGGATAAAATATTGTTTAATTGCTTAAGCCTAATATTTCCCATAAAATTGCTCTGCAGATTATTGGTAAGTGTTCACTTTTGACAATATAGTGCAGTTTGTAGGGATGAAGAATTTCTGATTTCATATATGATAGTGCTCCAGGAATCTTTCAAAACTCAGAGTTACTTTGGTGGAGACCTGAAGTACTTTCTTATCACACTCATGCATTCAAACATTCAGTCTGAACTTATTCATAAGTATGTGCCAATTAAAGTTTTATCTCTTTTTGAAAATAACACAGCTGCAATAAAAAATAGTAAATAATGATCCAGTACTCACAAGCAGGTGACAAGAAAGTATTGTTTAAGTGTAGGTGTCAGTTGCTAGGTCTTAGGTAATACTTAGGCCATAGAAAATGCCAGAATCATGCTAAAGCAGCACCCATATAACTTAATGAGGGACTCACAAAAGAGAAGGCTACCTGCTTCCAGTACCTGATGGATAGGAAAGAATCAGAAAAAGCACTGGTTGAGTACTTTGTCCCACAAGAAATCTTGCTTAGTATGCAGAGCAGAGAAGTTTTTCTGACTTCCTGTTGAAGAGTTGCCAGTTAGATCATGAATCATCCTAGCGCAGACATTGACATAAATCATGAACACTGTGTTCTATCAAGCAGTCTGATCTTCTATCATTAGGCCATGTAGCTTTATTATGTTCTTTTGAATGTTTTCAGCTTTATGAGATTGTTAGATATGTTTTGCTTGAGTTTATATTGCTGTAATATGACTGCAAATGTTCAACATGCAATTGTTTAAAACTATTTAGGAACTTTATAGATTTGTCAATGAATACATCCACTTCATAGATAGCATTTAAGTATTTTGCATCTTGCCTAGAGACATACAAATATTGGTTGATTTTATTTCACTTTTAATCAAAACTTTCTTCAAGGATGTGTGGTACAGGTTTTCCGTCTTGTAAAAAGAGGGAGTAGATTTTTTGTTGCGTAAAAATTAATTTTCCAATTTATTATTAGTAAATTAATTTTTATGCAACAATAAATCTAAATAAATATCAGTATTTTATAAGATTCCACAACTGACCTATAAGACATCTAGTTTGGTGCATGTACCAGTTATATGTTTAAGATAAGTATTTTAAAGTCATGTCTTTCATCCAGTCCTATAATTGCTTAGAAAGTTAAGCACAAGATGAAATAGTTCTGCCACTGATCTACTACATTTGGAGTTGGTTGCTTACGGATGTTTATTCATGTTTTGATCATCACATTTAAGATGCTGGAAGTTCCAAGTTCCAGTGGGACTGGCATGTGTTTTGTGTCCCATTTCTATGATGAAACTAGTGGGTATCCTGACACTGATATATTATCATATAATATATTCCATTTTAAAATATTCAGCAGTTTTAAAGCAGTGAAACAGAACAATATATTGTGCCCTTTGTAAATGATAGTGTAAAATATTGATGCAAATTAGTTTTTCCAAGAGTTCTAAAAGTTACACCCATCTTGGAAATATTTCTGTCTGATACAAATTGTTTTTAATTGACATCTACTACTCTTTGAAACTGAAAACCAGTATATCTAAAGATTAAAAAAATTAAGCCATGAAAAGTCCAGAAATTACCTAAATGACCTTGTAGTCAACAGAACAGCTAGAAATCACAGTGCAATGTGCCAGACTTTTGGCACTTTTTGGAGCCATGAAGAGACTGTTTGTGCCACCTTAATCATCTCACTCAGATGGATCTCTACAAGAACTTCTGTAGACACCTGAATGGAGAACTTCACCCTTCTTGAGAAGAATGCCCTCAGAATATATCCATTTGGCTTTTTCACTGGGTGCAATAGAACAGCTCATAACTTTTAAAGTACAGCAGCTAAGAGCTATATTAAAATGTTCTACACAATAACAGTTTAATATGTTATGCAATTTAATGATATAGTAACAACATATTATGTGTGTTTCTTCTTTTGTATGAAGAAAAAACAGAAAATCAAACTCCTAAATCACCTGAAAGAAAAATGAGGGAACCAGAGACTGGAGGAAGCAACGTTCTGGTGGGATAAGGTGGGAGCAGCAGATGGGACTCTCTGATGCCTGAACTGAATAAAACGCATCCTGCAATGTTAAAAATTTAAAATAAATCTTTTACATAAAATTCCAAGCTGTAAAATATGTTCTGATAAACAATGTAATGGTTGCAGAATTTTAACATCATAGTGAAATGATTTGAACTATAACTTCAGCTATGTGCTCTTAACTGCTGCAGCTAAGGAGATTTTGTTTTCTTCAGTTAGGCCTTTATAGTTTGAAGTCTTGGATTTAGAATGCACATACCCATTATTTAATTGGCTTCTTTACAATCTTAGCAACCCTAAGCTCCCATATTTTAAGGAAGAAATAGAAGGAATTGTTATGAATATGAAAAAGGAATCCCACATTTTCAAGAATCTGCAAACCTAATTTAAGACCAAAGTCCAGAACCATTATTAAAAAAACATAGACTTTTCAAGCATTGTGCTGTGAATTTGGAATTAATGTTTTTACAAGTACTAAGTTCATAAAAATCCTGTGTAAGTTTCAAAGCAATCTAAAAGCAAATGTCTCCAGATGATGTAAAAAAAAGTTGTATTTCATAAGTTTTGTTGTATAAATACTTGTTTTAATTTTAGTATTTCAAATTGTATTTTCACTTTAATAATTTATAATAATGAATCTAGTTTTTAATCAGCTGCTGTTGCAAGCTGTCATGGTTCAGTGATGTCATCTGCATTTGTTTGTATTAATGCTAATGTTTCTATCAAAATTAATGTGGAAAAACATGCAATCATATTTTGAAAAGTTCTATTTATGCCAATACTTGAGAGAGATAATGAAGCTATTGTCAGCTTCTCTTTCAAAATGGAGGCAGCATAAATATATTGATATCAGAAATATATGGTTTTTAAAATTTATTGGTGTATGATAAAGATGATCTGGTCTGTGTATGCAAATGTGAGTGTGGTTACTTTTTATAATGTAAAAACATGAATGGTGATTTACTCAAAATAAAATCTAGGACAATGCTGTACATGCATGTTCTTGAAAGAAAAATCTCAGGGCATCTTTTATAATTAAAATGAATAAAAGCACTTACCCATGGAGGGTATTTATTTAAAATACTAATAATGCTGGGTGTGTGCTGTCTTGTGTGAAGTACAAAATGTTTCTTTGGATTAAGCACTGTCTGAATGCTAAAGCTTCCTACACCTCCGTTAGATTTAGCAGTATTCTCTGTCTTAAGTCACAGGCATTATTTGGGTTCTCTGGAAATACTTAATTTTTCAGTTTGCTCTGCAGCCTGGCATAGGATCTTGTACATCACAGATTTCTTTAAAAGCTTCTTTGAGTTTTATGATGTTTAACATTCAGTATTGATAGAGGTGTACCGATGACCTGGGCTGGCTCCTCCTGGGTTCTGCACTGATGCAGGCAGATACCTCCAGTTCCCCAGGCACAGCTGACTCAGGTGCCAGCTACAGCTGCTCCCCCGTGGGCCACAGGAGACTGCCCAGGCTCCTGTTCTCAGTCTGACCTTTGGCAGGACCAAACTCAGATCATCAGTAGCCAGCTGTAGAACAGGACTCAAAACTGTGTTTGCTCTTTTGATGCCTTGCAGAGCAATGCAGAAGAACCAGTAAGTTCAGAAAATTGAAGTTCTTTCTCCCCTTAATAAGCAGGTAATGAGTTCTGTAAACAGTCTGTCTTTTGTTCCTTCTTGGCTGTCACTGTCTGTCATTTTAAACTGATTAATTTATTTAATGCTGATAACGTGCTCTACTCAATAACCTAAAATTCCTTCAATGTAATCTTGAAATGCTGTGTTTAGACATTTTTGGACTGGTCATTTTCCTTGTGCAGTACCTCTGGTGTCTTGTGCATACTTTCATCACTCCTTTGCACTACAGGCCTCCATCCAAGCAGTCTTTTTAGGGGCCACTTACTTCTGGGTTAGTTCTGTTAAACAGCACCACTGCATTTGAACCCTTCAAAGCTCTGTTTATACCTGCTGGTCAGCTGTAGCTCTGGAACAAGAGCTGAAGGTCAACTGTGCAGTGCCATTTGTTGGTTTTCATATAGACCAGTGGCAGGAAGGAGTGATTCTCTTTCTGGATATGTTTGTAATGCAGTCTGGAGCTAGGTTAGATGCACCTTCATAGTCCAGTCAGATAGCAGAGCCTGCCTCCCAAGTCCTTTGGTGAGTGGGGTACATCAGTGTCTGGGCTCTTGTGAGCAGGCACCAAATAGTGACTGAGGTGATTTTTTGAGATTTACCAGCTTTATCCTATAATGTATCTTTTGTATCTTCTCTAGCAGAGTTATCTTGTGTTAATTGATAGACACCTGTGAAGTTCCTTGCCAAATGATTTTGAAAAGTCTTCTGCTCCTTTTTTGGCAGATATTTTGTGAAGGTTGTATGAGCAAGCAGAATAATGATGACATCTGTTAGTTACGTAAACCTAGAAGTGGCTTTTTGCATTGTTTTGTACTTTATAGATAGAACTCTGCTAATTAAAATCTATTAAATGTTAAGATCTTGTCATTCTGTTGGATGCACTGCTCTACTGGAATAAAGGAAATTGTTGTTAGATCATGGAAATATTTTTCTGAAAATATTTCTGAAATATTTTTCTGAAACATCATGGCAACACCTTTGGATTTTAGGCTCAACTCTGTGAATAGATTTATTACACTTTAATGGAGGTATGTTTTTTCCTACCAAAGTCTGCCTATTTCAGTTATAGAGTCCTGTTACAAAGTTCACCCTGGTGCCTAGATGATATTACAGGTAGAAATTCTGGGGTTAGGAGAGGGCTAGCTTTGTGCTATGAAATAGTACAGGCCAGATTTTCCAAAATCAGAATACCTAAGTTATTCTTCAGAACTAATTTTTTTAAATTCAAAGAATATTTTCAAGGCACATCATGTACTCTGAGAAAATGAGGTGATTTGCTAGTCTGCATAAATGCTTTGAAAGAGGTCACAAGGTAGACTTCGTGATAGACTTATTTTCTACAGTAATAAAATAAAGATCTCTAGACAAAGTTTGTAAATTCTCTTTTAGGACTTGATACTGCTTCTGTTTTTATAACTGGCAAAATTCTGCTGACATTGACGTCACTGGGCTCTTCGTCTCTTTGTAACAGAAGATAACATTGAGGAATCTGCAGTGTTTGGGAATGAGCTTCCTGAATATTTTGGTATTTGAATGGGGCTTTTTATTCAGATTTATCACTAAAATACTGATTTTAAAAATTTCACTTCTGTGGTTGTTGAGTTTTCTTTTACCAAAGGTAGATTTTACAAGTCACATTTTTATTGCTTTGAGCCTTAATGAAGTTAGCTTGTTGTGTGGCATTAATAAAATACTGCTAGGATGACCTAGTGCTAGCTAGGAGAGACAGAACAGGTTTTCACATATCATATTTTAGTGTCTTTTTATTATAAAATAAATTATTAAAAATAAAGCCTCTTACATACCAAAGAATAGTAGCTATTACCTTTATTCACATTTCTGTTGGATCAACCACCCTGCCAATGAACAGTAATGTTTTAAAAGTTTCTTCAAAAATCATGAACAGGAATGGCCGGTCCACTTTGATGACCCGAGGCAATGTGAATGCAATTATTTCTGAGCCACTTGCTGCTGCAGCCTCAGTTCCTTCTTCATCCACTTCAATAACTGCATTTTGGATAACCTGAAGTGCAAGGCAGAAATAAGTATGTGACAGAAGTAAATACTAACCTGAAGAGTATTTTTCCAGCTGCAGGCATTCAGTTGAAGTAGGCTTCTGTTAAGGATTAAAATGAGCAGTTCAGTGCAATCTACCTCTGTCAGACTGGTAGAGGAGTCAGCACAGCCACTATGCCCACAATGCTCACAGTGTGGATGCCAGTTCAGGAGTCATTGCACTTTTCCACATTTCTGAGCACAGACCTCACTTAGAAATCGGGGGTTTTGCATGAAAAAGCCATTGCATTTTTTTTTTGTGTAGAGTGCTCCTCTTTGACACCTAACTGTGCAAAGGAGTTTCTCAGTTGTAGGAAATGTGTTTTCACCAGTCACAAACACTGACTGGCTGGATATGTCATTCACAGCTGATTTTGTGAGAGCTTAGGGAATTGCACCAATCTTTGTTTTTTCCCCTGCATATTTCTAATTTGTACATTTGGTAGCACAGACTAAATATGTAGAACAGTGAGGTACAATCCTGGATTGGTTTGAATATTTTCCACTCCCACTGAAATTGCAGCCTGGCAGAATCTGATTTTTCATTTTTTCATATTTTCCATTTTGTTCTTTTCAGCCTGCTTATACCTATGAGTGCTTCTGCTATGTTAGTGTCTGTACTGGTGAACTGCCTGGTCATCTAGTGGATTTACAGCTCCTAAACTCCTAATTCTAGGAATTACTTATGTGAAAACAGTTGAAGGACTTCACCAGTGTTGAGGTTTCTGCTACATATTTTTAAATAATACTTCTGTCTTTCACAATTCCCAGGGACAGGATGCTCCTCTGGCACTCTGTAGCTGATGCACATATTGCTTCTAATATCAGTTAGCAGTTCCTGTTAAAGTGTGATTTTTTGATAACACAATAGTTAACTGCTGAGAATCAGCATGAAAGTTACATGATCAAGAGGAAGGGAGAAAAGTACTGCAGATTGCCTTTATATTTCCCAACGGTGAAATAGTTCATACTAAACTGAAAATCTCTGCAATTTTATCCATTAAATATTTATTCTTAGGATATTAGATCTTCCCAGAAAGGTTTTTTTTTCAAGCCACTGCAATTTTGAAAACCTTTAGATCAAGCATGAGAGTTTTTAAAACTTGTATAGAAGTGTTTATTATCCCACCCTGTTAATTGGCTAAGCACAAAGGCTTCTATAAGGATATGGTGTAGGGAGACTTGTAAGAGCAGCACCTGAAGGATTCCTTCTCATAGGGTACAAATACCCAAAGGGAGGGTGCAAAGAAGGTAGAGTCAGGCTCATCAGTGGTGCCCAGTGACAGGACCAGAGGCAGTGGGCACCAAGTGAAACACAGGAAGTTTGAACAGAGGAGGTTCCCTCTCAACACTGGGAAATGCTTTTCATGTGAGGCTGACTGAGCATTGGCACACTGTGCGTTCTTCCTCTTTGGAGATATTCAAAATCTGTCTGGACATGGACCTCAGCAACTTGCTCAAGATGACCTTGCTTGAGCAGAGGAGTTGGACCAGGTGACCTCCAGAGGTCCCTTCCAACCTTAAACATTCTGTGATTCTGGGAAGCCTCTCCTGGAGTTGTGGTCCTGGATCGTCTCTGCCATACAACCCTCCACAACCACAAGCAGTTGCATGCTGCAATTTCCTTACATAAGTTTATAAAGCTACATTTTTAAATCCTGTGCCAGAGTAATTTTATTTGGATCTTGTTTATAAATTCATCTTGTTTCAGAAATTTTTTTAACTTTAATGTATGAATTTGTATCTAGAATTCATTGCTTTTCATCTTGTTCCACACACTCCATTCTTGTGGGCACAAGTATCTTGTGTGTTTTGTCTTTCATCTCCTTTCTTTGACCATTCATTTTAATTTTCTATTACCAGCAAATTGTCCTTTTTATAGACTAGCTGTTTGTTTTTCATAAGATATCTCTGGTCACATAGACCTGTTCCCTCTTGATATTGACGTGATTGACAAGTCCTTTGTTTTCCATTCTCTTCTGCTTCTCATTCTGCCTCTGTTTTCCATCAGTCTTTTGAATTTCATCTGTGCTCTCCCTTTAACAGTGGTACAAAGTATCTCTTCCTGCTCCTCTTTTTCCATGGGGCTGTGCTCCTGCCTTCTTGGCCATTCACTGCCCTTGCCTTTACCTGTTTAAAGGTTCTTTGAAAGTTTCAGCATACAAGGTGGAACATCTGTATGGGTTGGAGTGCAACTATATCGTGCCAATCCTTTCCTGTGAGATTGTGTTTTCTCTCTTCCATGGTATATAGAGGGAAAAACAGGAGTGCTTTGACTTCTCTTTCTCACTGTTACCTTTTTGAGATTTTATTATTTAAACTTGCTAAGGTTCTTTATTTTTTGAGAAGTATAAAGTATAACTGTCTCTGGAATGTGTATGAGGAGTTCTTTCCTTGAATTTCCTTACTTGCCCTGGATTTTACCATTTGATTCTCATTTACATTGTCTTTCTTGTTCACAGTTTTTGTGAAATTGTGCTCATTCTCTGCCAACCATATTCCTCTTGAGGCAGAGCTTTTCTCCTGTGATGGGTTAGCTCTGGGAGGTGTTGAGCACCTATGAGATGTCACTGCCTCTTTCCCTTACATAACTCATACCTGAAGTGGGATCCATCCTGATTAAGATGTGTAGGTTGCACATACCTGGCTGATGAGGTACTTTGCTATCAGTGTCCCTATAAATTTATATGACCATCTTGGCTGGGCTGTTAATAATAATAATAATAATAATAATAATAATAATAATAATAATAATAATAATAATAATAATATACTATTATAATCTAAATAACAAATAATTTTAGTGGGCTTACCTGTGAAACCGCTACATATTCATGATCTGTCAGATGACTAAGATCTGCTGAACGTGTAAAAAGCTTTTTAATTCCAAGACTTTGAAGCAGTTTCTTCATTTTGTATTTTTGCTCTAGTTTAAACTTTGGAAATGAAATATCCACTTTTCTGTTAAAAAAAAATAAATTAATGCAAACAGTCACTTGACTGCTGAAATGCACACTATTCAGGAATTAAGCTTTACACAGAAAAAGAAGGGACAAAAACTGGATAGTCTCTGCTGGCATTTAGGTTGCAGAAAATAATTTCTAACCTGTTGGCTGCCAGTGATGCTACAAATTATTTCCTTCTCTGTATAAATACTTCCACCAGCAGTCACGGTGCCCTGATACCAGGGCAACACACTAATTTATTGACTGGTGAAAAGAATTTTCACTTCAGGAACTATGTTTCACAGGAATCATTTGGGTTTACATTTTTATATTCAAATTTATCAATTCCTCTGGGTTTCCCCTAGTAAGAAATGTTTAATAAATGTCTAGATTTATAGTGGTTTTTGCTTGGCAGTACTAAATTTAAGGAGAGGGGAGACCTAAGGAAGAATATGGAAAGACTCATGCCTTCTCTCACAGAGAGAGACATTTTTAACTGAGATGAGCTGAAGTTTTGTTGCCTCTAAGTCACAACTTTCACATGCCACTTGGGCTGTGGATAGGCATTAAAGGACCTCTACTCTGTACATAGCTCTTGCCACAGAGATGCTACCATGGGAAAAGGCTTAGGAAGACCAGCTAATCTTTACTGGGCTTTGTTGCTTTTCTGCAGTGGACATCAAAGACATTAGGGCCCCATGGGTGTCAAAGCAATACCTGCTTTTCATGTTCCCAAGCCAGGATTCCACAAGCTCTGCAGTCAAATGGTCTTCAATTGAAATGTAGTCACCCTCTTTTTCTGGGATAACAACCAGCATGTGGGCATTCCCTTTGTAAGGTATCTTTATCACAGTGCATCTTAAGTTCTCATCAAAAGTGGAATTAATTTTATCTGACTTGAACATCATGGGTACCTGTACGCTTCTGTATTTGTTTATGTGGAAAGTCTCAATTTCTGTGAACTTGGAATTAAAGGGATAGACCCACTTGCCTGAGGAAAGAAAGAAAGAAATTAAATCATTATATGTGTTTAGATTTGTTCAGAAAAATGTTCTTAAAAGTTAAAAAACCTGTAGGATATTTTTTGCATCTAGTTGAAGTGGCTGTCAGTTGTGTCTGGGATAAGTGGATGACAATTTCAGTATATTTTATGTTTATTGCATATAAATTTTTTTTACAGAAAAAACCCCAAAGTAATCCACAAAATAAACTGCTTCATTGCACAGAAAGAAGGGAAATATTTTTCTAAGGTTGGTTAGTTGCCACTCAAGTTCAGAATTTATGTTATCTTTGTTTTATCAATGCCTGGTGAGCATCTGACCTTTTGTAACATGTAACCTTCTCTGAAATTTTCTACCAGCTGTTCAGTATCAGTTGACCTTTTGTAACATGTAACCTTCTCTGAAATTGTCTACCAGCTGTTCAGTATCCTGTATTTAATTTAATTATCCAATATTTTGGATGGGGATTCACTGACTTCCCCATGGAATGGTTTCTGACCATCCCTGGTATTTCTTTCCCTCCCCCTGTAAGGTGATATAATGGGATTCTTGGGTTCCTCTGGGGCAGATGATTCTTGATGGAAATAGAGAAATTATTTTTGTTTCAATGATTTTGTGTACTATGTTAAATCAGTGCATGATTTTATGCCCAGTATTCAGCATTTAAGACTATTATGATAAAGACTGTTTCATTTTAATGGGTGAATTAAAATAAAATATTGTTTCCTGTCATAAAGAGGGATAATTCAGAGATGGACTGAGATAGTTTGATACAGGGCTTTTTGTTCTCTTTGAGACTCTATTTTATGGAAGATAGCATAGAAGAATTGTGGTTTCCTATAATGAAAAATAATTTCCTATTATATGAGCTTAATAGAAAAAAGTAATCTTAGATAAAGACATAGAGAAAACAGGACATCTAAATTCATTTAAACTCCCCCTAATGTAGCTGACGTTAGAGTCTTGATTCTCCTAATAAATAATTATTCTGCATAATAAAACCAGCAATTACCTTTAAAGAAAATGTAGTCCACAAGCACCAGTTTATTATGGCGATCCAGCTCTTCAAAAAGTCTTGGGATTTTTCCTTTTGTCATTTTGTTAATTTTTTGATTGATGAAAAGTTTTGCCTGTGTTAAGTTTTCAAAGTCTACTTTCAGGAATTCCATATCAAAGTACTGCTTAGATAAATTCAGGAAAGACTCCTTGAGTTTGAAGTCCTTTTGAATAAAAGAAAGAACACCTTGCATGAGGAGAAATTCTTCATTCATTGTGATGTTACCTGTCAGTTGTTTAAACAAAGCTGGTAAATGTTGGCGATCCACTCTGTCCTTCACATCATGGAGGTTTAGACCTTTTACAATTTGTCTGTGCGTTTCTCCTTTGGTTGCCATCATATAGACACTCATGAGAGCTGACACAGAAAATGGAGAGATGATTACATTGTTATCATGTGTCATTGCAATTTTTCTGTAGAGGTTAAATCCAAAATTTGTGGTCTTTTCAGTGAAGTTGTGAAGAGTGAAGTCTTCAAGACCTTGGTCTTCAAAACCTTGGTGTTCAAAAGACTTAGAGATATTTTTGTGATGATACCACTCTTTGGAAATACTGATGTTATTTCTTTCCAAGAAATTACTCTCTTTTTCCTCCGTTGGAAATTTAGGTTTGATATCAGCCTGGATGAATTCAAAACATATTTCACTTAAGAGAAGTATGTAGATTCCTGCTTTCATGTTGACATCCAATAATGAACTATTTAGAGTTGGTTTTTTTCCTAGAAAAAAGAAAGGCAACAAAATGACTTTTTAGTTTGTTCTTCCATTCACAATGCAAAAGGTTAAAGATGTAGTGGTCTTTCTTCACCTTCAGGGTATATACTCCAAACCTGTCTAACAAAATGTTCAGAGAAGACCAGGCAGATCTTACAGGACACCTAAGGCAAACCTTAGCATCAAACATTGTGTAAATTTGCAAATGAAATGCACTTTGCATATAGTGCAAATATGATTATCATCCATCTTTCCATAAAGCAATATATTAATTCTCTCCCATACAGCAGTGTTGAATTGCACTTCATGGAAAAATTTTGAATGGCTACAATCTTTGGAGATGCATTTTCCCATTATAAATTAAACGGGATGTTCAAGACCACCAAACCTGCACAGATTCCTTTTGTATAGCAGTGGGCAAAGGGATAAATGAGATTAAAAGATGGATTATATGGCCCATCATTAAAGTAGTAAGTGATTCAACAGTCTAGAATCACGTGGCAATTGTTAACTACTCTTTTTAAGCTAAGGATCTGTAACAGCAAATTACGGTCACTGTATAATTTGTGATTTGGCATATGGGAAAGCTGGTTTTACCCGGTTTATTCAGAGTTCAGCTGAATTTCACAGTTGGCTGATTCAGGCTGTGGGAGTTAGTCCTGAAAAGGTATGTTGATGTGAGTACTGAGACATTTGGGTGCCAAGTCACGAGGTGCTTTTGGCAGTCAGGTGGTGTGCTATTTTCTTTGGAGATAATAGGTCACGTTCTGTACTTGCTGCAGCACAGATGGGCTGTTATGACTTAATCGGGAGGCAGCGAATTCGATGAATGTTATGCCTGCTCTCGAGTGCATGGCAGACAGAGAACAGAGCAAAATATGCAGCAAATATGTTGTGAATATTTTTAAATTTATTTTTCTTTCCTTTTAACCCTTGATTTATTTTTAATGAGATTCCCAGTGTCTGGATTTTCAGGACTGGAGTAGGGAAGGGGATGACTTGTCTTCAGCTCCTGCCTTGGTGGTCAAGTGGTGCCTGCGACATCTGGAGTGCTGGGACACTCACTGTCCCCTGGCAGGCTGAAGCAGTGCAGTTCAGAGCTAGTGCAGTAACTGCTGAGCATTCCTTCTGCTTGTGTAGTGACCCACTTCTGTGGCAAGTAGCACAGGCACAGGGGTCCTGTTCCTGCCGCAGTGCTGCATCTGCCCTGGCAGCAAAGAAGGAGGTTCTTTCCTCTGAGAATCATCCCTACTTTGAAGAAGCATCCTTGGACACTGCAGCATCAGCTCTAGCAAAGAGGCAGGGACTGGAAAATTTTGCTTTTGATCATATTCAATCACTGCAGCAGCAATTTGTCCCTCTAAATGCAGTTAGCATCAGGCCTAACTGCTCACCAAGCATTGCAGAGCACAAGCCTTTCCTCATCTTTTCTAGGCAGGGTGCAATTCCTGCACACAGTGTTGCATCTGGCAGACATCACTGTTGCTTCTCTCTGGGAGGTCTGGGACAGGGCTTGGCTCAAGTGGGCACCAGCTTCCCCCAGGAGATGTGAAGGGACCGGCTGGGCAAAGTGCTGCTGCCTTCCAGAGGGCTCTGCCTTCCCAACACAGAGAGGTTTTGGACAGAAAGGGCGGGACAAACGCAAAAGCTCTTGTTTACAGGTTTCTCCCAAACTATACAACACTCAAGATTCCTGAATCCTCAGGCAAACACATACACATCTGCTACTGATTTGGGTGCAATGAACACAGGAATAAAAACCTTGCAGTTGCACTAAGTAATCACTGCAAATCTGAGATTGCAAACATTTAAAGTGAACATTAAAGCAGCTGCATCATTCACCTTTACTGGTTACAAATAGAGCATGTCCTCTAGAACTAGGAAAAACAGTTCTGGGAACAATAAAGTAGAATTTATGTACATTACAGACTCGTATTTTTAGACCTGAGTGAAGCTTATTACTAATTTTAGACAACTCACTTTATTTGTAGACCAGACAGTTCATTAATAAATGTGTGTTAGAGCAAAGTGAACATTATTTCCATTTAAAGAAATACTTATTTCTAGTAATATCAATATCAAAGAAAGAAGCTTCTTGTGCAAATGCCTTTTTCTTCTGAAGGCATTAGAGCAAGAGAAAAATCCATTAGGAGCTAATTAAGGTCTACAACCATTTAAAACATCACATCTAGACAATCATTGATAAATATATAAAATTGCATTATATATATATAAAAGATATAATAATCTTTCCTTTAAAATCTAAATGTTTCATATAAATCTTATCTTACCTATTAGGTGGCTCTTCTGTTACGTTTCTCAATCAGTTATGTTTAAAAATGAGATGAAGATGTCTGTTGCATTTAGAAGTTTTTGAACAAATATTTGCTCTTCCAAAGAGAGATAATCTGGTTTTGTCTGTTATAAATTAACTGCTTTATAAACACTGAATGTGTGTTTCCTATAAATGGCATAATAAGGGAGGGTTATATTCCAGTAAATATGTTCTGTTTTTCATGAGAAACAAGAGAACAATAAATTCTTTGCATTTAGCCCTTCAGCACCCTATCAGGATGTGGCCCCCCACATCCAGTAGCCCATGAGAATTATTTTTCAGGCAGGCTCTGAACTACTCAGTAGAGTATCTAATCCTGTTTAAATTATCCCCTTACATAGAAGAATATATCAATATTCACCAAGGCAGGGGGAGCATGAGGGAGGGAGAGAGGGAGAAGGTCAAGAACGTTGGTAGGGGTGTTACCAGCATCCTTGCCCTGCAATCTGGCCGTGCTTTGAGAGGAGAGGCCAGGGCTCCAGTCCCTCTTTGAAGAGCATGCCAGGTATTTGGTGATGTATCAGTCTACCAACATCAAAGCCTGATAACCACTGAGGGATGTTCTCCCATAAAATACAAAGTGGGCCAAGCCGATATCCCTGCAAAAGTTATGCAGAGCTATGGTAGGCATTAATAATTTTTTTTAATTTTCAGTTGGTCTTGCTTGAACAGATTTGGGCCTTGAGCCTTATTAGTTGGGCAAGGCACATTCTTTAAGACAGATAGTTCATTCAACAATTTCTCTAGAGTGGGATGGTCCAAACTCTTCACTATTTTGATCGTTGGCCTAATTCCAGATAAAACATACACATGGAATTCCCTATCATCTCCTCATGGTCCTAAATTGTTTTCAAAAATATTCCCAAATGAAATAGAACACTTAATTTTGATTTGGATTGTAAAAGAAAAATAATTTGGCTTTAGAATGTGAGATAAGGGTACTAGTCTCTGATTTTCCACTGAACTGAAAAAAATAAATACTATATGCAGTCTAAATTGATGTATTAGACATTTTAGAAAGCCCATTAAGAATTAGGGCATCCAGGACTCAATTTAAAAAAGGCTTTTGTTTATTGCTGATGAGTATTGATTCTGTAAGAGTGTTTGCTTACAAGATGCAAGATTTCATTAGGAAGGGCTTAAGAACTGAATGTAGCCCCTCTGTTGTTTAAGCAGATTTGTATCCTTGTTGCAAGGATACCATACCGGAGGGCAGTTGTGGGGTTTATGCTCTTAAGGAGTTCAACAGAGAGGTCACAGGCTCTAGCTTCTTAAATTCCATTTTTTAAAAATTAATTTAAAATATACTTCCTTTTAGAAGCAATCCCAGTCATAATAGGCCCCCAGTGTAGGAATTGTATTACAGAATATGGGAAAATAAGATGGGGTTACAAACTGAAGGGCCTGTAATGTCAGGCAGTCTAGTCCCTAAGCATGAAAAAGCTCTACTGTGGATGCCCCAGTGACTTCAGAACTTCTGTTCTCTGTCCATGTGACTGGACTTTTTTTTCCTACTTCCTAGTCTATATGTATTTGTGTTAATTCAGTTGGATTTGAAATTCAAATGTCCTCTCATCGCATGGAAGAAATTTGCATCTGATATGGTTGAACAAAGCTGCATTACTGTGGTGTACCTCTGAATCTGTGTGTCTTCTGGAGACTGTGGTGCTGTGGTTGTGGCCCAAAATAAAATACAAGGAAAACCTGATGGATAGAGGTCCTGGCTTTTGTGCTCAGCAAAATCAGCAGTTATTTGCAATGAGAGTAGCTCTTCCTCCTTGCACCAGGATGCTGACACATGTGGTCACTGCTGGAAGCTAAGAGACTCAATATTGATGTTTAATATTCTAAAGATTAAGATTGTTTATAGGTGGTACTGAAAAGAGGGGCTTGAAGAAATCTTAAATTTTTTTAATCTCTAGGCTAAATATTTGCTGGACCACAAAGCCCATATCAATCCTGTGTTACCCAGAGGAAAAAGGAGGCTATTATAAGATGTATTGGCTGTGTACAGAGATCTGAGAAAACTGTATTCCTCTCTAGTTACTCACAAAGCCCTAGCTAGTTTTTTATGCCAGGTAACACCTTGCTGAGTGTATCCACCATGCACTATCAGGAGTAACGTATTCCTCCCACCAACTCCTATTTATACTGTCAGTTGCCCTTTGGATTCAACAGAGCATTCTGAGCAGTTAAACTCCACACAACATATGGGTAACACTCTGCCAAGCTATACATGTTCAGAGTGATTTACTGGGAGAGGATTGCCTGTGTGTGACTCTGGCAGAATTGCACTTTTCCACAGTTCATCAGGACAGAACCACCTCTAAAACCAGAACAAGCAAGACCAATAGAGGTGCACTGCTGCCCATTTGTGTCTCTGCTGGGAGCTTGTGCCAGTGCTGAGGCTGGGCAGCAGTTGAGGTAAAGACAGTCTGTTCTGTAATAGACAACTGTTTTTGGATGCATATGCAGCTCTGAAAAACTTGGCAGTGATGATGTAGTCCAGGTTCTCACCAATCTGTTTGACATAGCCCTGTGACTCCTGCGTACCTGGGAGTAGATACTGCAGAGGCAGATTCAGCTGCTTGTTCCAAATAGTCAGAGAGTTTCTGTTATAAGACAGAATTCTTCCTTTTTC